GACTTTTCATTCCAAATCTTCTCGCTATCATTTTAAATTTCTTAATGTTTGGGCTACTCAAACCACTTTCATTGACTTGATTAAGCAGGCTTGGGTTTCTAGAGGAAGTGAGAATCCTTGGCTTACTTTGTGGCAACTACATAAGAATGTGATTTTTCATTTAAAGAGATGAAACATTGACACTTTTGGTAATGTTCACTCTAAGGTTCTAAAGGCCTAACAGGAGGTGGATTCTTTAGAAGCTCAGGTGATTGCTACTCCCAATCTCGTGTCTAAACTAGCAGATGCTCATCACACTCTTTTAGAGGAAATTTCTATTGAGGAGGATTTCCTTAGACAGAAAGCTTGTGATAATCATTTCAAGAATGGTGACAGAAACACCAAATATTTTCATGCTACTATCAAACATCGCTATAACATAAATACCATCATCAAGATTGTCACTGAGGAGGGCTCTGTTCTCACTGATATTGATCAGATTGGTTTTAATGCAGTTGATTATTTTTCTTCTCTTTATGCTGATACTCCACCTGTCACTGATATTATTTCTGATTTTTTTGAGGACCAGAGAGATATGATTTCCAATCTCTCTTTGTCTGACCCCTTATTGAGTTGGAAATTTTCAATGCCCTTAAAGATATTAGCTCACAGAAGGCTCCTGGCCCCGATGGTTTCACCTCCACTTTTTATATTTCATGTTGGAGAATTATTAAAAATGATGTAGTGCTGGTTATTCAAAGCTTTTTCTAGGGAGTTGACCCTACAAAGTATTTCTCTGCTGCTTTGATTGTTCACATCCCTAAGTCTAATACAAAATCACACTAAAAAGATTTTAGGCCCATATCACTAACCTCGGTTGTCTTTAAAATTATCAGCAAAGTGATTGTGACCCCGTCTCCAACCTCTCATTCATTCTCTTATTTCTCCTCAACAATCGGCCTTCATTAAAGGTCGTGGCATTTCTTATAATATTCTATTGGCACAGGATATTTTACAGGATCTTGATAAAAATTGCAGGGGTGGCAATCTGATTATCAAACTTGATATCAAAAAAATTTTTGATACCTTAAATTGGGATTTCATCATCAACGTTCTAAAAGCTAGAGGTTTCAATACAAGTTTTTGCTCTTTGATTAAAAGATGGCTTGCCAATAATTATTATTCTGTCTTAGTTAATGAAAACTCTTATGGTTTTTTCACTGCTTCTCGGGGCATCAAATAGGGAGACCCTCTTTCTCCTATTATTTTCATTTTAGCTTTTGATTATTTTTCTAGGCTGCTTAACATTTTTCAATTCTCACATCCTCATGCTCAGTTTTCCCACAAAACCAAAATGACAGTCTCCCATTTTGCTTATGCAGATGACGTTATTATTTTTACTAATGCTTCTAAACCTGTCATAAAACAAATGTTGAAGCTTCTTCAGGATTTTCAAAACTGCTCTGGTCTTCATTTCAATAGTGACAAATATCAGATGTTTTTTGATAAGCAGGTTAAACAACATATTACTCATTGGGGAGTTATGTTTACAAGCTTTCATCATGCCTCTCTTCCCCTTAAATATCTTGGGGTGAATTTGATAAGGGGAAGAAAGAAACAGATACATATGGATGATGTGATTGATAAAATCAAACGTAAAGTATATGATTGGAGAAATGTTTTCCTGTCCACTGGGGGCAAGATCTCTTTACTTACTAGTGTTCTTCAAAAATATTCCATTATATTCTTTGCAAGTGTTCAATCCCAAGAAAAGTGTTATTTGTACTATAGGGAAGCACTTTAATAAATTTCTTTGGGTGGGGAATGGTGCAAAGAAAATTTGGAGTACTTGGCATAAAGTTTGTAAGCCTAAAGAGGCTGGTGGCTTCGGTTTTAAAGCACTAAAACATACTGTTGAAGTGAACCTTTGTAAACTTTGGTATAAATTTAGATTGGGTTTCTCTCTTTGGGCCATGTTTCTGAAGCAAAAATATTGTGCTCATATTCATTCTTGGTCGCGTGGAAGGTTGGAGATTCTCGTATTTGGAAGGCTGTGGTAAATGCTAGAGATACAACAAATGACTTCATTTTTTGGGACATTGGGGAGGGGAAGATTTCCTTCTGGAATGATAATTGGGGTTTTTCACATAACTCTGATTTATCTCACTCTCTTCATTCTAACTCTTTATTGGTCTCAGATTTCTTTGCTAATGATGGTTGTGATTACTCTAAGTTATGTTTTATGGTTGGGGAACATAATGCAAAACATATTCTCACTATCCCCATTACTCCTACTTATAGGGATCTCCCCATGTGGAAAAGAAGCAATTCTCTTTCGGTTTGCAAACTCATTTATGACACTCTACACTCATATCGGGATTGGATATGGAGAAAATGGATTTGGCATAAATATTTATCTCCCTCTATATCCTTTTTTCTTTGGAGATATCTTAAGTCTTTAATCCCAATTGATGATATTCTTAAGCTTAAGGGCTTGAAATTAGCCTCAAGATGCCATATGTGTAAAATGAAGGATGAGGATATAAATCACATTTTCTTTGAGTGTGTTTTCTCTTTAGATGTTTGGGATATGATTGACTTTTATTTTGATTTCTCTTAGATACATAGAGGTTCTTTAACTAGTTATTTGTGACAATGGAAGGATTATGATGCCTGTCAGGAGAGATTTCCCCTCCCTTTATTGGTTCTTTGGTTCCTTTGGAACTCCAGAAATAACTTTAAGTATCACACCTCTCCCCCCTCTACTTCTATGATTGTTGCCTATGTGATTGCCTATTACAATAAAGTTTTACGAGCTTGTTTTTCTGTGGTTAAAGTTTCTAAGCCCTCTCGGCTTATTACATGGACTCCCCTGCATGCTAATTATATGAAATTAAATATTGATGGCTGTTGGCAACCTGATTATGCTGCAGTTGGGGGCTTATTTAGAAATTATGAGGGGAGATGTCTTTGTTATTTCGCTTCCCCAGTAATTGCTGAAACTCCATTGGCTGTAGAATGTTGGGGAGTTTATTTGGCTTTTGTGGTGGCTAACATTTTCAATTTTCATAAATTAGAGGTGGAGATGGACTCTAAAATGCTTTATGATATTTTGGTTGGTACCTCTTCTCCACTCTGGGATTTTGTTGGTATCTTTAAAAGAATATTAGCTCTTATAGCTGATAAACATCTTGAGGTTAACTGGAAGTTTATACATAAAAAGGGCAATTCCCCTGTCGATTGGCTTTCCAAGCATGCAGGGGAGATCTGTCACGTTGGCATACACCCCACTGCCCCTCTTTGAAGGCTCTTCATTGGGGATATTTTAAATCTTCCTTATGTTCGGTTTTAAGTTTTTTATGCTTTTTTGTCCATCAAATGAAGCTCTATTAGGTTTGGCTGGGCATTACTGCCCTTTTTCTTGCGGTTTCCTTCTATTTTGTTTGGCTTGGTTGTTTTTATCACTTGTTACAGGATGATCTCTTTTTTTGGAGTCACGGGCTGTGCTGGAGTCCCTGCTCACGGTCTTTTTGGAGATATCTGCTATACCGAGGACAACTCTTCTGCATGATTTTCTTTGTTTTTTCTTTTTTCAAGATACTTCCAAGATATACAAGTACACAGGATTACTCTTTTTTGACTTTTTTGGTTTTTGGGTATATTTGTATTTTGTAGATTCTTTTTTGGGTGAGTTGTACTGCTGGGAGAGAGACCCCTAGGGATGAGTTAATTGTATTTTTTTGTGTTTTCTAGAAGGGGATCCTCTCCCCCTTCCTATCTTTGTACCTTCTTTTTAAATATTAATGTGTAGGGAGCCCCGCTGCGTGGCCCCCCGTGTATGTATGTATATGTATATAGGTAATTATAATATGTAAAATGCTATAAAAATACTGTTTAATTTTTTTTGAGAGGCGCAAAAAATGAGATATAAAATTTTGGGTAAATGTTTGCTATATACCTTTGCTAAATTTTGGAGTATTACCTTAAAAGAGATGGGCACAGTAGACGCATCTTTCATCAATTGATTTAAGATTATGAGTGAAAATCTCAGTTGACGGAGAAGCTACAATCTTTGAGGGAGAAGGGATTTTTGTCCATTTAAATGTACTTCTTGAGCTCTTACATTCGGATGGGCGTTCAAAATATTTAGAGTAATTGTGGCTAAATATCTTTTAAAAGAGCAATTGTGAAAGATGCCTTCTCATTCAGCCTTCTATCACTAATCAATAGACGATGTGCCAATTTGTTCCTCCTTTTGAAGGAATGGTAAGACCTATTTCCACATGGGCCTGGTTTAATGATGGCATAGAAAGACGGGCAATATCAATCCAATTTCCAAAAATGAATCAAAATAAGATCTCAAAAAATTTGAAGTTGATTGATTGAAGTGATATAAACATAACCTTGGATATTCACCAATGCAGGGGTAATCTTTTGTTACTTGGAAGCATCAAAATGGGTTCACCACTTTAGTATTTTTGTCAAAAAGCCATTGATGTGTATGTATGAATGACAAAAGTGCCCGGTGTAATTTAATTCAATGAGAAGTTTGTTGATACTATGACGATGATTAATACGATCAACTGAAAATTCACTTACTGCAAATATGGTATGAATTTGCAAATGGTGATATCTATGCTGGACAACATGAAAAGAATTTTGTAACAATAATTCCAGAGAATGGTTGACCAAGTTCAAAAATTTTCAGTGAAAATAAACTCAGGTTTGTCTTAGGACGTAAAAGCTTGTTTGTGAACACAAGAATTTAAGGCATGTAAAAAATAGTAGTGTTGCGATCTGTATTGGTTATTGACTTTGTTGTGAAACCTTGAGCTCAGCACGCCATCTTTGGGGATCTTAGATGTATCAGCAGTTGCATTATTATTATCCTATGCCATAAGCGTGCACTTTTGGCATGATTCTGTTCTATCTTTAATCGAAGGCTTATAAATTTTCAGACTTTATTTAGAAACAGTGAAGGCACTCCTGAGTGCAGGTTTAACTTTATTTCAGGTTTTCAGGTAATGAGCGCTCTTGAAAAGTTGACAAGAGGAGTTGCTTGGGGAAATCTCGACGTTCTCCTTGTTGATATGCCCCCAGGAACGGGGGATGTGCAGTTGACTATTTCTCAGCGGCTGAAGTTATCTGGTATTTGGAAACAATAGAAATTTGTTATTAATTATGTTGATTTTCTCTTTCGCTTTGTTTTTTTTACTTGCTATTCTCTGTATCAGGATAATGCCATTGTTCAATAGAAGTTTAGATGTAAATTCAGGCTGCTGTTAGCTCTTTTTAAAAAAAAGGGGCATTGACATACATACCACAGAATTCTTATTTCTCTACTTATCTAACATTAAAACATTTAAGTTTACATGCATATCACTCAAATCATTAACATCACATAAAAAATACTGGTGTGAGTGTCGTGTAGAGGAAGAGGAAGCAGGACGAAGAAGAAGATCTCACATAGTGTTGGGCCGAGCCGAGGGAGGAGGTTTGGAGAAATTGCGTGCGTGAGAAGTTTTTTAAACAATAAGTTTATTTAAGTTATAAAGATTTTATGTTTATTGTTGAAACTTGGAATAGACTAACACAATTTTATTGATAGGAGGGATATTTAAATCCACTTACAATAAACATAATAATGGAAAACAATAACTACAGAATAAGATAATAAAGAAAATAAAAAAGAATAAAACAAAAGAGGAAAAATATATTTAGGGAATAAAATCATATAATAAGTAATAATAACATATGGATAACAGTTATAATGTAATGTATATAACACATGTATTTATATATATTTAAATGTATTTGATACAAGCTCTAAAAGTTCTCTGAAACGATGAAAAAATGTCAGCTCCAAGGAAAGGTTAGGGTTTTATTTCTAAAAATATTTTATATAAATTAGTAATGTGCATGTTAATATTAATTACAATAATTAAAATTAAAAGTTTAAGTGTTGAAATCTTAAAATAGTGCAATATAATAATAATTGATAATTAAATTAAAACATTAAGTAAAGTAATAATTGAATATTTTATATTTTATTGGGATAATTTGATATAAATAAAACAATTTAAGACCAAGCAGGCCGTCCATCATCAAGGTTAGTAATCATGTTTTTATTCTATGATAATATTTTTTTTCTAGACCAAATGCATTCAATAGTACTATCATTAGATATATTGAAATTATTGCAAACTCCAGATTTTGAATTCTAGTTAATTTTTTTTGTTCATATTGTAGGATGGATGCACGTGCACTTCATATTATTGAATAATCCGACTCCTATGCAAACGATAAATAAATATTTTTTTATTAGAAAGTGATTTTTATTTGATGCTTGTTTGTGCATGATTCATTATGATATCGTTACCCTTAATGATACTAGTGGGGGAACATTAAGGTACCCGTGCACATATATGAAAAATGATATCGTTACCCTTAATTGATACAAGTTTTAGACGCCAATTCCTGTGATGGTTTTATAGATATGAAATGATATTGATATTATAATGATATAGATTCTTTGAATAACATGTTAAAAATAACCGTCATGCATGTTCTTTTTCTTGTATTTTTGTAGTTTAAGAGGATGAGTATTCATTAGCTTGTTTAGCTTATTATATTTTTAAACTAATTTTTTAGCTTAATTAAGCGATTAAAGATGAGTTATAGAGGAGAACATAATTATAGAAGATGCTAACAACCAGTAACGAGGTAAAATTAATTTTAATGTCTTAAGTTAATTTGATTAGTGACTCATTCATATGTTAAATTATAGACTAATATAGAAAATTTAAATTCACATCGTCCGACCATCTGTACCGGCCTTGGTTAATTCCAATCTCCGTGTCGAGTCGAGACAAAATTTGACATCAAAGACGAGGTTTAGGTCTAATTAATTAAATTTTGATGAAACAACCGATAGGATAATTATAAGAAAATTTTAATAATTATAAAAATGAAAGTTAACTCAAAGTAATCCATTCAGACATAATGATACACCTGAAATTATAGAAGAAAATCCGATTGAAAATGAACGAATACAACGTATTATTAATGCGAACGTGAATATTCTCACCCAAATGATGACAATGTTGACTCAAGTGATTCAAGAGTCTAGATTGCAACCTATCAGAAATGATACTTTCGTTGTAGATAAATACTTGAAGATATTTCAAGATCTGCGTCCACCTTTATTCAAGGGAATTGAAGATCTAATTGAAGCGGAGAACTGACTAATGAGGATAAATAAGTTACTAGACAACATGACTTCAATTGTTGGCGACATTTGTGCTTGATGGAGAAGCTGAAAGGTGGTGGCGCGGGTGATGTGCCCCTGGTGTGTGTTGTTTTTCTGCGTGTTTTATGTCAATTTAAGTCCCCGGTAACAATGCCAAAAACTTTACCCGTCCTGAAATTATGCGGTAATTTAATTTCCAAAAATATAACAAAAAACCCAATTTATATTAAGTAGTTAGTGTGCAAAATTGAAATGTTATAAAATATATAAAATAATTCACACACTATAGGTTCCACACAATTGCACGTATCGCTTCAAGTAAGATATGATTTTTTTTAAAAATCCCAGTATCGTTCCCACCGAGATTCGATGTAAGAAATCTCTCAGGCTAATTTTAGTCTACTACTATCAGGTCTTAGTTTGAATGGTGAAAGTTCTTATGATGATAACGTAAAACACAATATTCAAACTATAAAAATTAAAGTAAAAAAGACAAGTTAAAATGAGTTTAATGTATGCTAATTGAAATGTTACTAAAAAAACTAAGTTTATTAAACTAATTTTTAAACTTCAAAATTAAATTTACAATGACTAAACTAAGTATTGTGACAAAGAGTTCAAATTTAATAAAACATCCTTCTCCTTTACAGTTCTCCTTTATAATGAGTTTATGGTTAATAAAGTAATTAAAATTGTTTAAAATTATATAAAATTGTATTGTGTCAAATAAAAACAATTCTATTCTTTACCATTTGTCGAGCTCATAAAGAATATTGGCTAATCCAGAGTTTAGTCCCTAATTCGTGGTTAGGTTGGGAGGATTCTGACTCTCACTCCAGAGCTCTCACGTCCCCTCGCTTGAGGGCTAATATCTTGCTTTAGTTTCCACACACTTGGACAAAATTAGAGATTTTAGTCTGTCGCCCTAAAATTTTTAATTCTACGCCGATCAAAATATATTTCTCTATATATTTGCACTCAACCGCATAGACTACAGTCTCATCCATGAAATTAAATGCGACTCTCACCTTGTTGTAGAAAGCATAACCCTTTCGGATTTTATGTTTCTGAATAAATTTTAACATTTCAATTGACCAGATTGAAAAATTAATGAAGATCAGAGTTTGAATTATTTCAATTTATTGACATTTAAAACCTTTAACAACAATATTAATTCTTCACAAAACCATATCTCATTGTAGGGAGAATGACAAAGAAGACTAATCAGAATTCATGAGGAATATACGACAAAACATGGATTATATATATAAAAATAAGTTTACAAAACAAAGAAAGTAAAGAACACATCTTTTCTCAAACTCCTTAAATAATCCTTTGAAGTTCCTTTGAAACACTTTCTCTCTTTACAATCAACACTGAATTCTCCCTCATAAGTGTAATGAAGAAGAAATTTTTCACTTTCCCTCTCCTCTTATAAATCTTGAAGAAAATCCTCTTCAAACATAAGACTCTACACCACACAACACTACAAGACAAGACACCACACGACAAAAACACCACCCACCATGAGAGGCGCCAACCCCCTTATTTTGAAGAGACACAAAATTCCTTTTTTTTCCCAAAAGACACATCTTTTCATTCCAAGAGATAAATCTCTTCATCCAAGAGACATATCTCTTCATTCAAGAGCCTTTCCCAAATGTCTAGATTTATTGAACCATTCCATGGGGCATTTGATTTACTTAGAGTCTTCTAGAACATCTCAAAATAGTCAAAAATAGCCAAAAATACGTCAAAACCCACCTTTGGCTGTCCATAACCGTCTCTGGCGCTGGTTCTGGTGCCTCCAGTGTCTGTTCTCTAGCGCCAATCCTGGCGTCTGTTCTCTGGATTCTGGCGCCACATTGCAGTAGTTCCACCGTTTCAACTCCGTTTCTACCCGTTTCAGCTTCGTTTCTCCCCGTTTCAGCTGTATTTCACTCTTAATAGTTATACCTACAAAGATAAACATGAAAACAACATCTTTAAAGTGTAATTTTATTAAAAAAATGTGAGAAATGTAAAAGATATTAAGCATAGAAAGACATCGAAATGTGCCAGGTCACAATTTTCTTTCTTGCTCTTTTTTTATTCTAAATTGCACAATTTTTGCTTCACTTTCTCCAAAAGATCATTTTTTGTACCTGAAGCAAAAAATATGCAAAATATCTTCATTTAAAGTGTAATATCATTAAAAATGAGCATAAAATATATATGAAGAAGTAGTTAATTTTTAGGCGTGTCAGCGGGCAGCGTCAGGACAGGTTAGGGGACATACTCAACACAATGATAAGTTAAGAAGAGTTCATAGACCTTTTTAGAGAGTGGTTTGTATCTCTATTCGCTCGATGACAGATCCAGTACAAGTTCATCAAGTTGAAGCAAGAAGAATAGACGGTTATGCAACAGGAAGCATAATTTACTGCACTATCGTGGTATGCATCACAGTTGATCGCTATTGCAGAAGAAAAGTGCTACAGATTCTTTTCGGGATTAAAAGAATCTATCAGACAACCGATAGTATTTTGAAAGTATGTTTTAATCTTTGAAAAATGAGATCAAATGGATCTCATTCGTCCAATAGTTTGCATAATCGTGTCTGATACTGCAAATACTACACCCTCCCAAAAGATAAGTGTAGACCTCGGCGATAGACACAATCCTGCAAACTAAGAGATTTGTGACATCCGTTTGGTCTGCGAACCTTTTATGTATGACCGACGAGTTCCCCTATTTAATACAAAGATTAAATAGAGTTTATTTTATCTGGGTTCCAAGTTTCCTATAGAGGCAAACCCCTATAATTAATTACATCCCAAATAACGAGAGTCACTTGAGAAAATTCTCGATAATGATCAATGGTTCTAGTCTTCAAGAATTCAAGGTTCAGGTTTTCAAG